TGTGGGGACGGGAGACACGGGGTGAGGGCCGGGGTGGGTGGTCTGTGGGGACGGGAGACACGGGGTGAGGGCCGGGGTGGGTGGTCTGTGGGGACAGGAGACACGGGGTGAGGGCCTGGACTGACAGAGGATGTGGGCTAAGGGCCCGGCCTGGGATCTGCATACTCCTGGTCAGGTTAGAGCCTACATATCTGCACCCACATCTGTCTGCAGTGTGCTCTCTGCGGGGAGGGGGCACCTCGTAGCAAACACTAGCCAGCGGAGGACACTCCTCAAAGTGGGGGGACTGTTCCCTGAGTGGGGTTTCCCTGCAAAACTAGAAAAGGAACTGTCTTGGCTCCCCCACCCACCAAGTGCTGTCCCCACCCACCAGGCCTCGATGACTCTCACTCCCAACCCAACCTGCACATCCCCACCCCGCCCCGCCCACCTCTGCCCCACTGGGGTGCTGACTGGAGCTGGCCCTGTGGCGGGTAAGCTTCTGCTCAGCCACCGGGGACCACATTTCAGTTCCTTCCATCTTTTCTCTATCCCACCATTTGTGGGAACGCCTGAATCAACCCCTTCTTGTGAGGCCTGTATGAATGCACCTGAGTGGCCCATGGCCTGGAGGGACAGCCCGGGCGGTGAAGTGACCAGCTCTGGTGAGCCCCCTCGCAGGGGGCCTGCTCACCAGAAGCTGCAAAGTGTTGGACAGACTCAGCCCGCAGGCTGCAGAATCCCAGAGCCCTGCTTGGGGGAAGTCTAGTCCTGCAGAAGCAGTGTGCAAAGGAGCCAGCAGGAGGTGCTGTGGGACCAGAGGTAAGAGGCCAAGGAGGACTGGGAGCCAACAGAAGGCCAGCCCCCTGTGCTGTGTCAGAGGGACAGAGCTGGAGGACAGGAAGGCGGTCCTGGGGGAACTGAGGGGTGAGGAAGCAGGGGCTAGACACCCTGGGAGACGGAGCTAAGCTCTGGAGAAGAAGACAGACCCCGGCAAGAAGGGCCCTTGGGGTCTGCTTCCTGTCCCCCACCTTCTCATTTCTTTTTTACTGAGTCGGAATCAATTCATTGCTGACCCTCCACTGGGTGTCCAGGGGTGTAAATCACACCAAGGAGATTGTCCGTCTTTCTCCACGAAGCGAGAGCGAGCTGTGGCCTACAGCACAACTCTGTACAGGTCACACCACCAGCCCCGAGGTCCCACCAAGAGCAAGAACGGGGATTTTACACGGAGGCCCTAAATGGTGGGTCATGTCAGAGTTCAGTTCAGGAAAACAAACCCCACACAGGCGGTCCAGGAAGCCACGCCATCAGGGACGGGAAAGGACTGGTGGCCAAGGGGGCCACGTGACGAGCATGGACAGTATACAAAATCACAGAGACCTCCGGTCAACAACATCTCAACTCTGATCCTGACGGATCCCCCACCTCGGTCTACACGCTCTGGAGGCAGTAACGGGCTGGCGGCTACCTACGAGGTCAGCAGCTCAGATCCACCAAAGCCTGACTCTGCAAACCCAGTGGAGGGCTGCTGGGAGCCGAATCGAGCAGGGCATTCGGGGTATGATTTTGTCTCCCTTCCCTGAAGAATTCTGTGCTCTTTCATCCACAAGGGAGCTCTGGTGGCCTAGTGTCTAAGGAGTTGTGCTGCCAACTCCCAAAGCGGGCAGTTCAAATCCATGAGGAGCTGGATCAAGTCCTCCCGGGCGACACAGAGCCTCTGAAAACCTGCTGGGGGGTCAGCCAGGAGTTGGTTCTGACTCAGTGACAATGAGCTGAGGTGGACTGACTGGCATCTCACGGAAACAGCATCCTTGAGGGACTCAAATCGTGTGAACAGAGTCGTCGGAGTGGCGAGGACAGAGCTGTGGGGTGGACGGGGTCAGGGGACAGCCCTTGTCCTCGAAGGAGGAGAGTGTGCACTGCTCCGATGGCAGCGGTTCGTGAGGTCACTCTCCTGCACTGCCTTCCGCAGGGCCCCACCGCCTGACAGTCTTCACAATTAGCGCAGACGGCTCGACGGTGTCCTTTGAGAAAATCCACGAGGATCGCCCCTTTGGATGGTCAGGACAGTGAAGACAGACAGTAAGGGCTGCCACCTTCCCCTTCGGACCTGGCCTCTCTGCTCTTCTTTTTTTTTTAATTTTAATTTAATTTTATTTATTTATTCTTTTTATGTGTGAACCGTCAAATTGGATCTGACTGGTACAGGAGGCGATTGTTCCTCCCTCTTCAGCAGAGCATCTGGTGGATTTGAACCACACACCTCTGGGATTGCAGTACAGTTTCCTGCCGCTAGGCCACCAGAGCTCACCTGGCCTCTCTGCTCTGAGTCTCGCTGGCCCGCGGATGCCCTCAGAAGCGGCTGCTTACACAGGCCTCAGCTCTCTAGGTCCTTCTCTCTCCACACGATCACCGTCATCAGCTCACGCTCCTTCAATAACTGGTGGGGAAAGCCTGCCCTCTGAGCCAGCTGACCCTAGGGGAGCACTGGAGATGCGGACTATGACTGTGAAGGCGTCCTGATGACTGAGCGGACAGGACTGGCCGGCAGCCATCTCCTGAGGACAGAGAATGTGCAGAAGCTGTTTGGTGTGGACTAAAACTGCCTGTGTGAAACATAGCCTTAACAGCAATGAGTTCTGACTTACTCTGGTACTTGGACCCACAATCAACACTCCCGGATGCACTGCATTGGGCAAATCCATGCTAAGAACTCTTTAAATGCTAAAGAGCAAGGATGACACCTTAGGGACTAAGGTGTTCCTACTCAAGTCATGGTATTTTCAGTTGCCTGATATGCACGTGAAAGCTGGGCAATGAATTAGGAAGATGTGAAGCCTTTGATTTGTGGTATTGGCAGAATATTAAATATGGACCACAAAAAAAATCCCCAAACCTGCCTTGAAGCAAGGGCATCCAGAGTGCCCCTCAGTGGCAAGGGTGGTGAGATTCATCTCCCTGACTTGGAGTGAAAAAAACAAAAACACTCTGTGAAGAGGAAGATGACGTGAGGCCCGGAGGAAGGCTCATCAACAACCTGTGCTTAGTGGACAGCACACGCTTGCTTAGTCGAAGTGAGGAGGTGAAATGCTTATTGCAGAAGATCAAAGACTATAACTTTCAATATGGATTACATTTCAATGTCAAGAAAACAATTTTCCTCCCCAACTGGACTGACAGACAACATCATGATCTATGGAGAAGAGAATGAGACTGTCCAAGCCTTCATCTTACTTGGACCCGCCATCAGCACCCTTGGTCTCAGCAGTCAGGAGATCATGAGACATAACGCGCCAGAAGTCAGGAATCGGGGACCCCTCAAATTCCCGAGGAGCAGTCATGTCAGCTTCACCACTAAGGGGCTCCTGATGCAGGCCATGGTGGTATCAATCACTTGCCAAGCATCTGAGAGCTGGATAATGAACAGGATGTCAGAAGAGGAGGAAGCGAGGCCTTTGGACTGTGGAGCCGGAGAAGAGCACTGATCAACCCAACGATTGCCAAAGGAACCCACCAACGGGTGTGTCCCGGACAAGGAGCAGCTAGAGTGCTCTTCAGAGTCAAGGGTGGCAACGCTTCGTCTCACATGCTCTGCGCATGCTGCTAGCAGAGGCTATTTCTTAAAGAGGGACATCATGCTGGGAAAGGTGGAAGGCTGTTGAAAGATAGAAGACTCTCAACCAGATGGACTGACAGAGCGAGCGCTGCAGTGGACTTGAGTGTGTGAGATGACCAGATGGCACAGGGCAGGACAGGGTTCAGCATCGTTGTTCACAGGGTCACTATGAGTCATACTCGACGGCACCTAATGTCAACAACTCGGAGCTGGTCCCTCAGAGAAGGACCTCCTGTAGAGTAGAAAGCAGGTGTAAAAGATGAAGATCTTCAACCAGATGAACTGAGATCCACTGAGAGCTGAGCCCGGAGAGCGATGGATCCCAGCCTCAGGGCAGTGTGTTAGCTTCTGAGAGAACCAAGCCAGCTCCGTGGGGGCCTGAGAGTGAACACCGGAGGTGGGGGCAGGGGGCGGCAGGCAGGCTGTCCCCCTTGGCCGCACCCCTTCTTCTGCCCCCCAACAGGAGCACAGAGGCAGCCACAGAGATTACAGAGCAATGGGGGGGGGTGGCTGGGACCAAGTAAACACTATTTACACACACCGAAATGTGAAACACATGGAGCTTTCAACTCATACAGCCTGGTGGCATAGTGCATCGCGTATCAGGCTGCTAATCAAAAAGTCAGCAGTTCCAACCCACCAGCGGCTCTGCAGCAGAAAGAGAAGCAGCCTGCTCCTATAAAGAGCCGTTGCCTTGGAAACGACTGCTACTTGGATCTGCACTCAACGCCCATGGAAGTAGCAGTCAAGAAATCAAAGGAGGAACAGCACTGGGCCGATCTCCTGCTAAGGACCTCGTTAAAGTACAAAAGTTGGCAGTTCAATGTTCCTGGCAGCATTATTCACCATTGCAAGAACACAGAAACAGCCCAAATGTCCAACCACAAACGAATGGATTGAGAAATTATGGTACATTCACACAATGGAATACTATGCAGCACGCAGGAGCAATAACTTTGTAAATTATTACACTTGGGAGGGACTGGAGAACATTATGCTGAGTGAACTAACTCAGACCCACAAGGATAAATATTGTATAAAACCATTATTGTAGAATGAGTATAAGGATCAGGAGGGGTGGGAGAGGCTGGAAGCAGAGGGATGTGGATGTGCAGGGGGAAGAGGGGATTAATCATCGGGTTGTACAATTTGATAGGAGGGGGAAATTGAAAGAATTTGTTCAAATCTGTATTTGAATTTTGTAAATAAACTAGTTGCTGCTGTTGTTATGTGCCGTCGAGTCGTTTGCGACTCATAGCGACCCTATACACAACAACTCTAAACCCTGCTCTATCCTGCGCCAACCGCACTGCCTCTGACACACCCATCCCGATTACCCCAGTCACTGAATCAATCCACCTCATAGAGGGTCTTCCCCTCCTGCGCCGTCCCTCCACCCTCCCAAGCATGATGTCCCTCTCCAAGGACCCATCCCTCCTGGCAACATGTCCAAAGTATGTCAGACGAAGCCCCAGAATCCTTGCCTCCAAGGAGTAGGGGAAAGAAAAAAAAAAAAGAGCTGGCAGTCCAAGTCCACCGAAAGACGACAACATGTTACCCCAGAAACCTGACAGAAGGTCGCTGAGTCAGAACCGACCTGAGGGCAGTGGTTTTACAATGTTCACTCGTCACACCCACCCTTCCTGCTACTTCCCTTCCCCGCGTCACTTAACGAACGTGCTGCCTTGTGCCGCCTCTGTCTCCAGATCCATCCACAGGATCCACCAAGCCCACCCGAGGCCCACTCCAGTCTGGCCTGTGCCCAGCTCCTAGCAAGCTCCCGAGCCAGGTTCTTCTGTGGGTTCTCGCCCCATGCCTGAGAAGGGTCCTTCGGAGGCTGAGGGGACCCCGGTGGCCTGGGTACTCGGGAGAGCCAGCCTCTCTGTGCCTCTGTGTCCTGTCTGGACAGTGGGCAGGCCCTACACCCCACTGTGGTTCCATGCGTCACATCAGTCATGGCCAGCCTGCAGGATGGGCACCAGGGCTGGGGGTGTGCTGGCCAAGAGCTGGCCTTGGAGCTGGGGCACTCAATGTCCTGCCACGCCAACCTCTAAACCAGGGACAGTCAGAGTGCTGAGAAAGGAAAACAAGGGCTCAGTGCTGAAGGACAGCAGGCGGGTCCCTAGCCCAGGCCACATCCTTGCCCACCCCTCTGACAAAGGCCACCAATGAGAACCAGCCCCCAGCCAATGGGGACACAGCCAGGCGACTCTGAGGACCTTGCTGGGGTGGCCGCGAAGTTTAGCTCCAGGAGGAAACAGCCGTCCTGCAGTGGAGGACCTGAGTCTGCAATGATTTCTCCCTGACTGGGTCCCGACTCAACAACCACAGGGGGGACCCATGCTGTGCAAGAGGAGCAGGCCAGAACTCACACCCCGACCTCCTCGTCCCCATCAAGGCTCACCTGCTCCGTTGCTGACCTGGGTCGGTCCTCTGGGGGGCGGAGCTGGCTGCTCTTCGGACCTGAGACAGAGGGGAGGAGAGGCGGTCAGCCATTAGTAAGGAAGGTTCGGTCGGGCCCTGCGAAGTCAAGTCACCCCTGCTCCAACCCACCACACCGCGGGCCCTGGGCACATGTGCTGCCAGAGGCCTTTGGAAGGGCTGACAAGCGAGGCTGTCACTTTAAAGACTAAGGTGCAGCCGATTCAAATCATGGTGTTTTTGACTGTTTTCTATGCATCTGTAAACTGGGACAATGAATAAGGAAGACAGAGATCTGATGCCTTGGCGCTGTGCTCGAGGCTAGTGCTGACTACCCCATGGACAGCCAGAAGGACAAGCAAGTCCATGTTAGAGGAGGCGCAGCCTGGGTGCTGCTGGTGCTGGGAGCTGCCGCGGAGCTGGCCCTGACCCACGGGGACCTGTGGACCACGGAAGGAGAGGCTGTCCACTGTGTGCTTCCCTGATCAGCTCACTGCCAGCTCAGGGTTTTCACAGGCTGATTCTTCAGGTGCATTTCCAGGACTTCCTTCCAGGACTCCCTTTTAGACTTCCTTTAGGACTTTCACCCAGGACTTCTTTCCAGGACTTCCATCTGAACTTCCTTCTAGGACTTCTATCCAGGACTTTGCCACAGGACTTCCTTCAGGACTTCCTTCCAGGACTTCCATTTGAACTTCCTTCCAGGATTTTCACACAGGACTTCCCTCCAGGATTTCCAGGCAGGCCTTCCTTCAGGACTTCCTTCCAGGACTTCCACCCCAATTCCTCCTGGTCTGGAAGCTCTGCTAACACCTCCTGAGCATCGTGGCCACACTCTGGCCTCCACTGGGGGACCAGGTGGCTGCATGGGAAGGGCACTGGCCAGGATGGACTCGGGCCTCCTCACTGAAGAGGGAGACCTACAGCCTGCGGCCAACAAGGTCACGTGTTCACATGGCTGCGAGGTGGGGAAGGGAGGGGGCTGAGGCCACAGGAGAGCAGCCACCCCTGTCCGTGGCTCTGTGGTCCCGGTCACTTGCCTCATCAGCACCCCACATCAGTCAGCAGGGCCCCTGGTCTTATTCTGTGAGCCCTACGGTCCACGAGGCCACATGCCCCAGCCCCCCTGGACCGTGTGGTGAGGCCTCTGTCCTGGTCTCTAGGCCTGCACTTGCCCACCTGGAGCCCCCAGCCCCACAAAGAAGCAGGATGATGGGAGGACAGGGCCCAGGCTGAACCTGGTAGAGGCACAAGCATGCTCCAGCCGGTCAGAGAGATGGGAGTGTGGGGCCAGGCTGCTGCCCTCTGCACCTTGAGTGACGCCCATCAGTCCCTCTGAGAGCCAGCCGGAGTCCAAGATCACACAGGTCAGGCGGCCAGCCAGAGGATGCACGGGCTGTGAAGCCAACGGGTGGGGAGGTGAGCAAGTCCAGAGGACATGCCAGCTGGGGATGGGGTAACCTGCAGAGGACACACTGGCTGGGGAGACAGTGGAGAGCAGAGTGGCCAGAGTCCTCCAGGATGCAGACTCCTGGGCCTGGACCTGGCTGCTGACCGAGAGACAAGGTAGCAGGGTGACAGGTGCACCCAGCAGAAGGCCAGCACCTAATGAAGGGTGGGCGAGGGGACGACTAGACAGGGGTACAGAGAGGGGCCAGAGCCCACCCCTCCTAGTGACCATCCACAACACACGGACGATGGAGGAGTGGGTGTCCGGGGCACGTAGGAGATTCGGGGTCAAGCAGGGCAGCAAGCAAGGCTCCTTCCCAGGTCTGGGGGTTCCAGAAGATGCCCCCCTCAGAATACTAACACTGTACCCGGCCCACACCTTCTCTGCCAGGTACGCCCCGTGAGGACTGAGGACACACCACACCTGCCTAGGACTCTGAGGACTCATCTGTTTTAGTGTCACTTCCTGGGCAGTGGCCAGGGGAGCCCTCCTGGCACTGGCACTTGCTAGGAGCCAGCACACATTGAGACATCAAGATGCTGCCTTCAGGGACAAGACGGTGGACGGGAGCCAGTGCTGGCCAACAACGCTCGTGTCCTTCATGTCCCCAAACAGGGGGCACAGGGCTTTGCACCAGCACGTGCTGGACACAGGAAGCAGCCGATACGATCTCCCTTTCCTAATCTGAAGGAGGAGGGGGAATGTTGCTGACGTGTCCGGCAGGCAGACTCCCAACCGTTTCCAACGGCAAGTGGGTGGTGGGGATGCTCGGAGCATGTGAACACGTGACTGTGCCAATCAGAGGGAGGCCCCAGAGTGTGCAGGCCTGGACTGCAGCCGACAGCCAGCAGTGAGCAGCCGAGCCTGGAGCAATGTGTCCGAGTCACTCCCAAAATCTGGTGCAAAAGAGTCCCAGGCTTGGCTTCTCATGGAAAGACTGCAGGATCAAATCCACCCAGAGGAGGAGAGGCGTAATGATCAGCTGTGAAGAGCCTGGGGCGGGGGGACTATGGCAGGGTCTTAACTACACACCAGGGTGGGTGGTGAACTGTGGCAACGTCTTACTCAGACACACGGACTTGTCCGAAGTCTGAGCTCAATGGGCAGCACTGACCTGCAGTCCCTGCATGCTGCAAACATAACGTGCACAGCCAATAACACAAAGGTTGGACGTTCAAGGTTCCCCAGGAGTGCCTTGGAAAAAAAGTCTACTTTCAAATCACCAGTTACTGGAAGGAGGGCGCAGTCCACTCTGACACACACAGGTTGCCATGGGCTGGACGAGAGTCTACCAGGCCATAGATGTGACCCCACAGAGAGGAAGCAGGGACACAGGCTATGGGGTGGCCAGTGAGTTGCCCGTCATCCCCGCAGGGAGCAAAGCACAGAAGGTCCGCTGCACAGGATGACTGTGGGGAGGGTGGACCCCACAGAGGTTTGGACACAGGGTAGCAGAGCTCAGCACCTCTCTGGCCAGCTCGGGTGCGGCTCCTCGGACAGGGAACTGTGCTTTAACCAAGGCAGCTCTGCTAGGCGCTATAAACCTGCTTCTCGCTGGGCTGCACCGTTAGGAGAGGGCAGCGTCCCTGTGAGCAGGAAAGGGGCAGGAGACACCTCCCCCAGACAGGCAGCACCAGCCACACAGGTGAGATCTAAGACAGACGTGTATCCACGCACGCGCAGGTGCTGGGGGGATGGGGACAGGACAGGAGGTGGCGGCAGTATACGATGCCCTCCGTAAGTCAGGTCAGGTATCAGGTATGCGGGGCAGGAGGCACCCCGAGTGGGCACTGAGGGCTTTGAGAAGGGCAGGGGTGGGAAGGCATGGGGTGGTCAGGATCCTGTGAAAGGCAGTTGGCCCTCCGGGATGGGACATGGGACAAAGAGCAGGGAGGGGATTAAGACTGTGGGGTACAGCTTAGCTTCTGAGGAGGGGACACGGGGCAAGGAGCTGGGGGGGGGGTGTTAAGAGGCTGTGGGGTGCAGCCTGCTGTCTTGGAGGGAGATGGGGCTCCCCTTCAATCCCCCATGCACGGCCAGCTCTGTCCCACTTTCAGGCTCCAGAGCACCCCCACTCTTGTTGCTCCTGGAGGCACTGGTAGTATCTGTACTCCCACTTTGCAGATGAAATAACTGAGGCACAGGAAGACAACCACTTTCCCAGTCACAAACCCCACTCACTATACAGGCAGGTGTCATACCAGGAAACAAGACCCTGGCTCAAGACCCCAGTTCTCTCCTCAGACCCCTCCAGCACAGAGGGGTGATCCCAGACACTGATGCAGGGTGAAGGGTTGGGTGAGGGCAGGGATGCAATGCACACACAGGAGGGGTTCAGCCCCACACCTCCCAGATGGAGGTCCCCCAAAGCCTGCTGTAGTCTGGGGCAGGGGTAGGGAAGGTGGGGCTGGAAGAGGCTTGCATGGTCGAGTCCCAGCTCTGGGCAGCACGCAAGGTCAGATCTGGGGCCTGGGGTCATCACCAGGCTCTGACCTCAGGCTCTGTGGGGAAAGGTTCCAGACCCTGACGTCCAGCAAGGACACAGTCATTTCTGGCCCAAGATAGCTCAGCCTGGGCGCCCAGCATGGACGTAATCGTACCTGGCCCAACATGGCTCAGTGTGGGCACCCACTGAGGAGGTGGTCGTACCTGGCCTTGAGCACCTCCTGGACCCTCTGCTCCAGCTCCAGTCGCCTCTGCCGCTCACGCTCCAGCTCCTGCCGCAGCGTCTCCGCGTTGGTCTCTTCGCGCAGCTTCCGAAGCTCCTCCTCTGCCCGGGAGAGAAGAGGCAGGTTATCCAGGCGGATCTACCCGGTGCTGCACCGCGGGTCACCATCACACACTGGACTGACGGACCGCAGGCCTGGTATAAGGCATTCAGGGTCCTCCTCAGCAGACTGGACCGCAGGTACGAGGACATCATGTCTACAAAGGACACACGCTAAGATGCCACACTGCAGGTCACGGCCTGGATCCCGCTAAGGGAGTAAAGATGCAGCAGCATCACAGACCCCAGGGAGGGCAGTTAGATGCCGGCTACACCGCAGGTCACCAACCAGCCTGGATCCCGCTAAAGGAGTGAAGACGCCACATCATCAGGGACCCCAGAGAGGGCAGGAAGATAGATACCACACTGCAGGCCATTAACCTGCCTGGATCCCACTAACGGAGAAAGATGCCACATCATCACAGACCCCAGGGACGGCAGTAAGATGCCACGCTACAGGTCACCAACCCGCCTAGATCCCGCACCATCACAGACCCCAGCAAGGAGCCTAAGACCACGCTGCAGGTGGTCACTCGGATTCCAGAGTGCTGACAGTGCAATGCAGTCACATCCCATCCAGATCCTACAGTCAACTGAAGACCTCGCTCCAGTGGTCCCCACCACAGACCTGTCAGGATGCTGTGTGGAAATGCTGGAAGAGCAGACACACGCTTCCTCAATGCCTGCTTGTCACTGCAGAAGGCTTCCCAGGAGATCTGCATCTGTTTGCCCGTCTGTCCCCTCACCCTTGCAGCTGGCTGGACAGAAATGCTCCTTTTCCTTGGGTGAGCACCAGAAGGGGACAACTAGAACACAGGCGCCAGTTACACATCTGTGAGAAGTCAGGTGAGAAGCTATCTTCTACGTGTACCATGCTGCACTCTGCCCAACAAACTGTGTGCTGGAATCCTAACCTCACACCTGGGAGACCACACACTCTTCAGTGGGGAGGACGTGTGTGCCATAATTTGTGTGCTAGTATCCTAACCTCACACCTGGGAGACCACACATGTTCACCAGTGGGGAGAACACAGGTGCTGTAAACCGTGTGCTGGTATCCTAACCCCACACCTGGGAGACCACATGTTCACCAGTGGGGAGAACACAGGTGCTGTCAGGGACTTCATTTCCTCAGAACCACAATCAACACACCGGGAGCAGCGACATGGAATCAAACAACATGTCAGTCACACTGGGCCTATCTGCTTCACAGGACTCCTCTACGGCCGTCATTCTGAAGACCAGCCTTTGCATGACCCAGGCCACAGTGTTCTCTATAACCTCACACGCCTGGAAAAGCTGGACAGTGAATGAGAAAGACCAGAGAAGACGTGGTACCCTGGGATGAGGGTGTCGTCAGAGCAATGAACACACCGTGGGCCGCCAGAAGAAGGAAGAAATCTGTTCTGGAAGAATTACATCCAGAATGCTCCTTGGGAACAAGCATGGTGAGGCCGCTCACACACTCTGAACGAGTTATCAGCAGGGCTGATCCCTGGAGAAGGATATGATGCTGAGGTGAGGGTCAGAAGAACCGAGAGGATGACGGAACAGCAGCTTCAGCGATGGGCTCGCACGCGGTGGTGACTGGGGGTGGCCAGGCCAGACAGTGTCCTCCTCGTGTGATGGGCTCGCACATGGTGATGACCGGGGGCGGCCAGGCCATGCGGCGTCCTCCTCATGTCGTGAGGCTTCCTCATGACAGACTCACACAGAGTCACTGTGCACTGGCCCAAGTGGCTCTAAGGCTTCTGACAACATCCTGTCTATGGCCGCTGTCGTGTTTGGGAAGAGGTTTTCTTTAAAGCACTCTGCTTCCTCTCCACTCTTGCTGCTGGGACTTCCAATATCTGCTGCCAAAACAGCTCCATTTAAGCCCAGTGGGTTGGCGAGACCAGTCACCCTGCTGTGGGGAGATTAAGACGCCCTCTTATGACCCACCCATTCATGAGGCGAAGTCACAGCCAACAGCTAGGAGAGCGATCTGAACAATAAACCTGGACGCCCAGCACCTAACAGCAACAACAAACTGAGAAACGAAACAGCGAGTTTCTGTTTGTTAAAGGCTCACTGGTGGTATTTCTAAGCGCAGCAGTGCCCGCCACATGCACTGCTGGCAAGCTGGTTCCGACACACATTTCAAACCCGACTTGGACTGAAGGCCCCGGGACGGACCTCACCCTTGTGTTCCTCTGGAAACCCACTCAAGGTGCATTGTGTCAGGGTGGCACCGGGTGGCTGAGGGGGCCTGGCTGTTGATATGAGCCATCAAGTGACCAGCGACTGACTGTATATACATCACCTCTGAAGCCTGGTCTGTCCTGAGCCAGCCTCACTGACTCCAACACACCTACCCCATCGCCCCAGTCACTGTGTCCACCCTCTCATCCCGGGTCTTCCTCTCCTATGATGTCTTTCTCCAAGGACTGGTCTCTCTTGGCCACAGGCCCAAAGTACACAGGTAATCTGAGGGGGCCTGGTGGCACAGCGTTTAGGGCTTGGCTGTTCAGCAAAAGGCCCGAGGCTGGGGCCACCGGCTGTGGGGGAGGTGAGAGCCCTTCCGTACAGCTCACGGGCGCGAAGGCCTTGGGCAGCCCACTCGGTCTGCGGATGGCTCGAGGGCAGGCACTGGGTTTTGGCGGGCTGGGTAAGGCTCTTAAACCACGTGTCTGTCTCACGTGTGCCCGTGGTGGTTCTGGGCACCAAGCAGAGAAGGACTGGGCATGAGCAACCCAGCGCGTGGGAAGCCGCATGCCCCACTGCTAACCTGGATAGAAGACAGAGCACTGCGTGTTCTGGGACTTTCCCACCTGCCCCTGGGGGCCCACAGCACCCACTCCACCCAGCCCCAGCACTGCCCTTTGATCTCGGGCCTCCTCTGAAGGTCACAGCTGCCCCGTCACCTCCTCCCCCCCAGCCACCCCACTGTCAGGAGCATGAGCACCCCTCCCTTCTTCTCACAGGAAACCACACTCTGCCTCACTCCCTGCCCCGGAACTCCCTCTCCTCATCACCAGGCAGCAATCAGCTCGCGGCCCCAGCCTCCACCTCCATGACCTCCCTGTGTGGGGAGTCAGCGTGGGAGGCAGGTGACAGTGTGTGTGGACACACCGACCCTTCCCAGGACCCATCACACTGGCCTGTGTAGCCCTGATCCATGTGTTCCAGGGCACGTTCCACCTGCAAGGATCCCAGAGGGACCACGGGCAGCAGGGAGGCCCTGTCCCCATCGCTGGCTCTTCCTGACGACATCCCTGGGGGAGGAATCTCACCACCAGAGCCACCTCCTCTAACGTGCCCGGGGCCCACAACCCAGTGTCTGGACGACCACCAACGTCTTCTCACAGTTGTGATGGTCAGCATTCCAACGAGGGTCCTCAGGGCTAACGGAGGTGGGCAGGCTCCCTGATCTGTGCACCTGGCCTCGCGGCTCCAGCTCTGAGCCCCTCCACCCTTCCCATTCGCAGGCACTCCTGTGAGGACATTAGTCACCCAGACAACCAAGGGCACCTCCCATCTCGGGTCCTCTGAGTCGCCCTCTCCGCCCCATGGGTGACATATTTCAGAGGTTCCACGGACAAGGACACAGCGGTCTCTGGAGGTCATGAGTCCACTCTCAGGACAACAACCTGTGCCCACGGAGCCCCTACCGGCCAGGGGCAGGGAGTCCTCTCCTCCTACCTGCCCAGGTGAGCTCCCCCTTGGCTCAGGTGGAGCCAAGATCGTCCCCAAAGATCCCATCCCTCCACAGAGGCCAGGGCCCCCCTAGCCACCCAGGGGACTGAGCCACTGCGGCAGTGACCCCTATGTGGAGGCTCAGGTCCAGCCCTGGCCAATCAGCCTGCCTCCCACCTCCAGCCACATTTCCTGGTGGCACAAGATGGCAAGAAAGATAAGTTATGCCCACAGCTTCCTCCTCTCCGAGCAAGCGGCTCCCCGCAGGGCCAGGCAGCTCCGCCCACTGAAACACTGACGCCGGGGCTGTGATGAGGTTCGCCCCACAGAAACGACCCCGTGCTGGGCTGTGACGGGGTGGCTCCCTCCCATGGTGACATATTTAGGTCAATGGCAGCGAGGCCACCACGCTGAATGGGACAGAGGCGGCTGAGATGCTGACATCTATTTCCTTCTTCCTCAGGAACAAGATGCAGTGTGGGGGACCAGGGTCTCCGGATGGAGTGTGCCGAGCTGGTTCCTAAGAAAGTCACCTCTCTGGCTCGCCTGCAGGTGACTGGCCATTCAGGGACCGTCATGGCCGCAGTGTCCAGCTCCCAACCCAGAGGCTCTGCTTGGACCACCCGCCCAGGCACCTCTCTGGTCCTCCAGCCCTGATCACATCGTGCTAGCTGCCCCCCTGAGCCCCGGGCCGTGGAGGTTCCCCCACGATGTGGATGCACAGGGCACCCACAGCCTCAAGCCTGGGCCCCACACAGTCTACCACGCAGGCCAGGGCAGCACCCACTGTCCCCACCAGCCCGGACTAAGAGGGTCACCAGCCAGGACTCGGAGAGGGCTGGGGAGCAAGCGGCCCTCCAGCTCCCCCTAACCAAAGGCAGAGGGAGTTCTGGCAGCCCAGTGGCAAAAAGCTGTGGTGGAATCGCAGAAGCACATGGTTCGAACCCACCAGCGGCGGGAGAAGGATGGGCCTCTGAGGATCCGCTGGAGGGTCAGCTATGAATTGGTCCCAATCGAAGGTGCAAAACAACAAGCCATGCCGGAGGGTCCGCTGTGAGCTGGTCCCGCTAGCGAGCGGCCTGAAAGTGTGGCTGTGCCAAGTGGTCAAGTGTGTGACTGAGCACAGGGCTGGAAGGTCCAACCTGCGTGGAGCAGCTCAGAAGGAAAGCCTGGTGATCGGCGTGTGAGAGGTAGCCCACTGATCACCTAAGCCCCACTCTGACCGCACGCTCTGCCCTGACGAGCGTCCACATGACTCCCCGGGTCTGGTCTCTGCTTCCCCCTTTACGGCCTTTTCCGCAGACATGAGGTCAGGGGTCCAGAGCAGG